TTTTTTGGGATTTTAGGTTTCTTTGGTTTTTGCTAGATTTGAGTCCCGGAGGTGGGAAGTACAGTGCCCGCACTATGGAGGAGGGGGTGGGGGGGTGTTTTTTACTTAAAAAAATCATTTTTAAAATTTGAGTCTGCACACATTCTGGAAAAGGGCAGCTATTGAATAAATAAAAGGTGAATGTTTCCTTTTTTTTGGGTCACCCTTTCTTCACAAAAAAAAAAAGGTTGGTGTTTATAAAAAAACATTTTTCAGTAAAGGGCCCCCCCTTATACAGCAGGTTTTGGCCCCCAGGTAACCACCGGAAAAACCCGGAAAATCTCCGGGAAAACAGGATTCCATTTTTTTTCCCCTTATAAATGATATAAATGCCAGATAAAAAGATAATGCCTAGTTTTGCAAAACGAACTAGGCATTAAAAAAAAAAAAAAAATTGAATACACACACAGTACACTCATTACTTACCTTAAATTTTTGTAGTCCCTTTAAAGTTTGGGGGAGAGGTTTAGTAATATTTATTATAAAAAGTCCCGGGGGGTGGGAGGTATGGTAGGGCCCGCCAGGACCCCCCCACCCACAAGTAATAAATTTCAGTGACATTTTTAAAATGTCCCCGAGGGTCCAAAAAGCATTAAAAGTACATTTATTACTTACCTAAAAAAATTTTTAAATCTTAATGTAGGGGTGAGAGGGGAATTTAATTTTTTTGCAGAAAGTCATGTGTAGGAGGTATGGTAAACCAGCCCCGGACAAACCCCAACCCCTAAGTAATAAACTATACATTTAAAGCATCCCAAAGGGGATCGATGCAAAAAATGGTACTTTCTTACTTTCCTTAAAATTTTGGTAGGGCTAAATTTTAGGGTGAAAGGTGGGGAAGTATTTAAATTTTTAGGAAAACAGGTGTGGGAGGTAAAGGTAGGGGGAGCCCCGGCCCCGGCCCCCCCACCCCACCCATATAATATAAATACAAAATTTAAAGTGCCCTTTTAAAAATAAAAGATATCAGTACCTCATTACTTACTTTAAAATTTTGTATCTTAACGTAGGGGAGAGGGTTTAGGGAAAAAGAAGTAAGACGAATAAAAAGAGGGGAAAATTTAGAGAGGAGAGAGATGCAGAGAATGTAAACAAGCAGATGAACATGTTGGTTTTGGGGGGATACCCCAGCAAACCCCCCAGGGAGGTACTACCGGGCCTGCCAAGTGAGTGTTTTAAAAAGAAGCCGTGATTGTTTTTTAAAATGATGGTAAGGGGTTGCTGATTTTCTTTTGTCTGCTCATAAATATGCCCAAAATTACAGGCATGTCTTGCTACTTCTACTTACACTTAGGTCCCCCACTACACATAAATGTACAACATTATTTATACACACTCACTGGTTTTCTTTTATTTTTAACTTAATATTCTTGGTCTTTTTTAATTTTCCTTTTATATCCATGGGGAAGTGGAATAAGGGAAACTTTCCTCCGTAAGCCCGCGTGTTGTAAAAGTTTAACTAGGATTTCCGGGGAAAAATGGGCTAGTAACCCCTTTTCCCCGTAAAAAATTACTAAAAAGAATAAGAAGAAGAAATTGTCCCAAAATGGGAGTCTGAATTTTTGCGTGGGGTGTTGTGCAGAAAGATAAAAAAAGAGATGATTGTGGTTTTTATGAAGAGAAAAGTGGGGTGTCCTGGCTTTAAGGTTTAAAACAAAAACTGAAGGGGGGGGGGGAGATTTTCCCGTGGAGAGGGGAAAAAATGGGATTAGGGGCAGGGGTTTTAAATTTGAGTTGAGCTAAAGAAGGAGTAGCAATTTAAAGTTGAAGGAAAGTATGGCAGGAAAAAAGGGACTATAAAAGTATTAAAATTTAAGGATTTTTGTGGAGGGAAAATAAAGGTTGGATGTGGGAAAAAGGGGGTTTTTTTTAAAAAAAAAGGGGTATGCACCTGGAGAAGAGAGAAGTTTGAGGAGAGAGAGAGATTCTGGGAAATGTTGAGTGAATGCGTGGGGGGTTTTGAATCAAGTGTGAGAGTAATGGTGGTTGGGATTTCAATGCTAAAGTGGGTAAAAATGTTATGGAAGGGTAGTAGGTAAATTTGGGGGTGCCAGGGGTAAATGTAAATGGGGGGCCTTTAATTGAGCTATGTGTAGAAAGAAATTTGGTAATAAGTAATACATATTTTATGAAAAAGAGGGTAAATAAATATACAAGGTATGATGTAGCACGTAATGAAAGTAGTTTATTTGATTATGTATTGGTGGATAAAAGGTTGATGGTAGGGTCCAGGATGTACATGTTTATAGAGGGGCAACTGAAAATATCGGATCATTATTTAGTTGTAGCTACAGTTAGAGTAAGAGGTAGATGGGAAAAGAGGAAGGTGGCAACAACAAGTAAGAGGGAGGTGAAAGTGTATAAACTAAGGGAGGAGGAAGTTCGGGTGAGATATAAGCGACTATTGGCAGAAAGGTGGGCTAGTGCAAAGATGAGTAGTGGGGGGGGGTTGAAGAGGGTTGGAATAGTTTTAAAAATGCAGTATTAGATGTGGGCAGAAGTTTGTGGTTATAGGAGGTGGGGGCAGGGGGAAAAAGAGGAGTGATTGGTGGAATGATGAAGTAAAGGGTGTGATAAAAGGAAAAAGGTAGCTTATGAGAGGTTTTTACAAAGCAGAAGTGTTATAAGAAGAGCAGAGTATATGGAGAGTAAAAGAAAGGTAAAGAGAGTGGTGAGAGAGTGCAAAAGGAGAGCAGATGATAGAGTGGGAGAGGCACTGTCAAGAAATTTTAATGAAAATAAGAAAAAATTTTGGAGTGAGTTAAACAAGTTAAGAAAGCCTAGGGAAAATATGGATTTGTCAGTTAAAACAGAGTAGGGGAGTTAGTAGATGGGGAGATGGAGGTATTGGGAAGATGGCGAGAATATTTTGAGGAATTTTTTAAATGTTAAGGAAGAAACAGAGGCAGTAATTTCATGCACTGGTCAGGGGGGTATACCATCTTTTAGGAGTGAAGAAGAGCAGAATGTAAGTGTGGGGGAGGTACGTGAGGCATTACGTAAATGAAAGGGGGTAAAGCAGCTGGAACTGATGGGATCATGACAGAAATGTTAAAAGCAGGGGGGGATATAGTGTTGGAGTGGTTGGTACTTTTGTTTAAATAAATGTATGAAAGAGGGGAAGGTACCTAGGGATTGGCAGAGAGCATGTATAGTCCCTTTATATAAAGGGAAAGGGGACAAAAGAGACTGTAAAAATTATAGAGGAATAAAACTTACTGAGTATACCAGGAAAAGTGTACGGTAGGGTTATAATTGAAAGAATTAGAGGTAAGACAGAATGTAGGATTGCGGATGAGCAAGGAGGTTTTAGAGTGGGTAGGGATGTGTAGATCAGGTGTTTACATTGAAGCATATATGTGAACAGTATTTGGTAAAGATAGGGAAGTTTTTATTGCATTTATGGATTTAGAAAAGGCATATGATAGAGTGGATAGAGGAGCAATGTGGCAGATGTTGCAAGTATATGGATAGGTGGTAAGTTATTAAATGCTGTAAAAGAGTTTTTATGAGGATAGTGAGGCTCAGGTTAGGGTGTGTAGAAGAGAGGGAGACTACTTCCCGTAAAAGTAGGTCTTAGACAGGGATGTGTAATGTCACCATGGTTGTTTAATATATTTATAGATGGGGTTGTTAAGGAAGTAAATGCTTGGGTGTTTGGGAGAGGGGTGGGATTAAATTATGGGGAATCAAATTCAAAATGGGAATTGACACAGTTACTTTTTTGCTGATGATACTGTGCTTATGGGAGATTCTAAAGAAAAATTGCAAAGGTTAGTGGATGAGTTTGGGAATGTGTGTAAAGGTAGAAAGTTGAAAGTGAACATAGAAAAGAGTAAGGTGATGAGGGTGTCAAATGATTTAGATAAAGAAAAATTGGATATCAAATTGGGGAGGAGGAGTGTGGAAGAAGTGAATGTTTTCAGATACTTGGGAGTTGACGTGTCGGCAGATGGATTTATGAAGGATGAGGTTAATCATAGAATTGATGAGGGAAAAAAAGGTGAGTGGTGCGTTGAGGTATATGTGGAGTCAAAAAAACGTTATCTATGGAGGCAAAGAAGGGAATGTATGAAAGTATAGTAGTACCAACACTCTTATATGGGTGTGAAGCTTGGGTGGTAAATGCAGTAGCGAGGAGACGGTTGGAGGCAGTGGAGATGTCCTGTTTAAGGGCAATGTGTGGTGTAAATATTATGCAGAAAATTCGGAGTGTGGAAATTAGGAGAAGGTGTGGAGTTAATAAAAGTATTAGTCAGAGGCAGAAGAGGGTTGTTGAGGTGGTTTGGTCATTTAGAGAGAATGGATCAAAGTAGAATGACATGGAAAGCATATAAATCTATAGGGGAAGGAAGGCGGGGTAGGGGTCGTCCTCGAAAGGGTTGGAGAGAGGGGGTAAATGAGGTTTTGTGGGTAAGGGGCTTGGACTTCCAGCAAGTGTGCGTGAGCGTGTTAGATAGGAGTGAATGGAGACGAATGGTACTTGGGACCTGACGATCTGTTGGAGTGTGCGCAGGGTAATATTTAGTGAAGGGATTCAGGGAAACCGGTTATTTTCATATAGTCGGACTTGAGTCCTGGAAATGGGAAGTACAATGCCTGCACTTTAAAGGAGGGGTTTGGGATATTGGCAGTTTGGAGGGATATGTTGTGTATCTTTATATGTGTATGCTTCTAGACTGTTGTATTCTGAGCACCTCTGCAAAAACAGTGATAATGTGCGAGTGTGGTGAATGTGTTGAATGATGATGAAAGTATTTTCTTTTTGGGGATTTTCTTTCTTTTTTGGGTCACCCTGCCTCGGTGGGAGACGGCCGACTTGTTGAAAAAAAAAAAAAAAAAAACGTTCATCTACACCTAACATCTCATAATTATGTTAATTTACTCTACAGTGGGGTGAATTTATCATGTTTATATGTTATGTAATGTGTTTATTATATAATTTTGAAAAAATATCATAGATGGATTAATGAAAATGTTAACAATAATGTAACTCAGTGGTACCTCGGGATACGAATTTACAGTAGTTTGTTCCAGAAAGCTGTTCAAGTGCCGATACCAAATGAATTTGTTCCCATAAGGATTAATAATGTAAATTAGATTAATCTGTTTCAGACCCCCAAAAATACACTTACAAAAGCACTTACATAAATACACTTACATAATTGTTCGAGTTTTGGGCTGTTCGTATCCCGAGGTGCCACTGTATATGACATTTAATGTGCCTCAGAGTGATTATTATTGCATATTATTATTATTATCATTATTAATATGGCATCCACAAGACTAATAAGACACTTAGTGATTTTAATGTGTAGCTTCACAGTGTATAAGTTTTAGGTACAGGTACCCATAAGTATAATTATCAGAGTACAGCCTCTCCACATTTAACGATGGAGTTCCATTCCTGAGACCACGTTGTTAAACGAATTCGTTACTAAGTGAGCAGCATACTATAATGGTAGTGAGTTTGTGTCAACCATCTTTGATATTGTTTTAATGTCGCATTTTCACCATTTGCAGTGGAACCCCGGTTATTGGTCATAATTCATTCCAGAAGGTTGGCCTGAATCCGAAAAGGCCGAAAACTGAAGTACAGTAATATTTTCCATAAGAATTAAGGCAAATCCAATTAATAAAAAATCCGTTTCAGACACCCAAAAATATTAACAAAAAATACATTTTTGAAGATTAACTATAGTTTTAGATACAGAAAACAATGAGAAATAAAAATGAAGCACAAATTTTAATGACAAATGAACATTACATACCTTTATTGAAGACTCTTGTTGGTGTATTGAAGAAGGCGAGGAGGGAAGAGGGAGTTGGGAATCCCCCTCCATAAGGACTTCAGGTATCAAAACCCTCTCTAGAGTTACTTCCTTTCTGTCATTTACTGCCACAGTACATTCATTACTTGCCTTAAAATATTTGTAGTCTTAATGTAGGGCGAGAGTGAGTAATATTTATTTTAAAAACGTGACCCACGGAGAGTGGGTACACATTTTTTTAGCCCCCGGGGCTACTTTTCCACCATATTTTAAAACTACCAGCCAATTATTCCATTTCACAGATTTTTTAATTTTTTAAAAACTATTTCATGCCATCATAAAAAAAGGGGAAAGTAATGAATAATTCATGCCAAGAATTGTAAACAAGCATGTGTGAAGGGCGGTGACTGGGCCAGATACCAGTTTCACAGTTTTCTTTAATGCTGAATCAGAGAAAACGTAATATTTACTCCCCCCTCCCTCCTCCTCCTTGATTCGCCGGTACTCGCCACTCGATAGCATATAAACATTGCATGTTTATATGCTCTATGCTATGTAACATGTTTATTATAAAATTTTGAAGAAAATATCATAGATGGATTAATGAAAATGTCTATATTAACCTAAAATAAGACATTTAATGTGCCCATGAGTGATTATTATTAAACATTACATCGCATATAAACATTGCATGTTTTAAATACTATGTGACTTGTTTCTTTGGGCCTATGGTGGCTTATTTCGCAGTCACATCAATAAGCAACCTCAAAAAACAATGATTATAACGAATGTTTGGTGACGTGCGAAATTTGTACTCACCCAGAGGCCAACTAACCCGAATGTGGTTTGGGCTTCCATTAGGTTGAATTCCAGTTCTGGTAAATCCAGGACAAAATTCGGCCAAAAAAAGCAGCTGAAATCTGATTTGCCTGATATCTTGCATCGTAGAATCCAGTTCCACTGTACAACATTTCTGGTATAAAACCCCCATTTTTACGAAGGCCTCATCGTACGATAAAATGACAGAAAATTCAGCGTAAAAATTTCCGCCAGGAGCTATACAAAAACTTCGGCCTTAATCATTGCGAACGAAACGGCATTGCGTCCCTGCCTAAGGACTTAGACCCACTTCCTGCTTCCTTATGTCATCTGCCCAACATGTTTACAAGCCATGCGGTCAGTTCCCACGTGCGAATTCGGATAATTTTATTTTATTACAGTGTTTTTAGGCTTGTAATTGGAAATAAACCACCATGGGCCATAAAGCTCTAGTCCAACACCTGAGTATATAAAGGGTGAAATTACTATAGAAATGAAAAAGATACAGTGACCCCGTGAACATTTAATAACCGTGCAAAGGGTAATTATAGAAATAATCGTTATGCGAAATTTTCCCATAGAAATAATGGAAATAAAATTAATGCAAGACCCCCAAAGTATAAAAAAATTATTTTTACCACATAAATTTCTTATTTTACACGCAACGAAAAGGCATGCAAAATTACATGTACATTCTTTTATTAAGTCTGTATTTTGATGGGATGGGAGGAGGGATGAGAAATATCTTATTACTTTAGAAGGAATTTCCCCTCATTAGATTAGTAGTAACTTTCCGGGTTATCCTTCTTTTTAATGCACTAGGACCAGCTTTGGCAGGTCCTGACCTTCGCGCACAACAAATCGTCCATAAGCTCTGTTACCTAGTCCTTTACGATTTGCAAATGGGCCCACAAGCATGCATATAACCAGCACGGCTTGGAACAGCCGAGTAGGTGATTTCAATTCATTTAAAAAAGGCGATTCACCACTGTGCACTGACATTTCCTTAGCTGAATTGCCAATGGTGTTTCCAACTGGCATACTTCTCAGTTACCCAAACCCTTCAAATCTTTTAATCCCATTACAATTCTCACCCTTTTACCACAGGGTGGCACTAGAAGCTTCTTGGGCCCATGGTCACTATTTCCAGAAAGACACAAAAACACTTAATATCGAATATTCCGAGTGTATGTGGCTAGTGACCGGGGCTGTTGTAAACAATGGGCAGGGCACATGTGAGGTCACATTGGACGCTCTCGGTACGAAATCGATACGGGTTTTTTATCGTACCGCAAAAAATTTTGCGAAAGTAAGCGTTAATGCAAAAACTGTATGGGTGACTTTATGCGGGGTCCACTGTAATCACAAAATATGAGAGTGGAGTGCGTGTCTCCGAGCTGGCCAGGTTGTACAACAAACTCCCATCAACCATCGTTACTATCTTGGCCAACAAAAAGGCAGTCAAGGAAGCTGTTGTTGCAAAAGGTGCAAGTATCTTTTTGAAACACAGATTGCAAGTACTCGAAGATGTTGAGAGACTGTTATTGGTGTGGATAAACGAAAAACAGATATCAGGAGATAGCATCTCTCAAGCGATCATATGTGAAAAGGCAAGGCAGTTGCATGACGATTTAATTAAAAAAATGCCTGCAACTAGTGGTGATTTGAGTGAATTTAAGGCCAGCAAAGATTGATTTGAGAGATTTAAGAATTGCAGTGGCATACACAGCGTGATAAGGCATGGTGAGGCTGCCAGTTCGGACAAAAAAAGGCTGAAAAATATGTGCAGGAATTCCAGGGGTACATAGAGGCTGAAGGATTGCAACCCCAACAAGTGTTTAATTGTGAAGAAACAGGCCTGTTTCAGAAGAAAATGCTTGGAGGAAATTGTGGCCAAAATGTGTAGAAGAGAGGGATTTTGAAGGGTTTGGGGCTAACCCTCTGGAGCATATGCCAGTTGTGGAATCTGTTGTGGCACTGGGGAAGTCCTTGGGGTTGGAGGTTAGTGGGGAGGATGTGGAAGAGTTGGTGGAGGACAACGATGAAGAACTAACCACTGATGAGCTGCAAGAGCATCTACAACAGCAAGAGGCCACAACTGAGGAAATTGCTTCAGAGGAGGGGAGAGAGAAATTGAGGAAGTTGCCTTCTTCAATGAGTAAGGAAATGTGTACAATGTAGTCAAAGGTGCAAACCTTTATGGAGGAAAATCACACTGACAGCTATTGTAAGCCGTGCTGGTGACTTTACGATGACAATGTTTTGAACCACTTTAGGAAAATCTTAAAGGAACGCGAGGTACAGAGCCCTATGGACAGATTTTTGGTGCGACAGAAGTCCAGTGGCTCAAGTTGTTCCCAGTGGCATTAAGAGAAGGGAAGTAACCCTGGAAAAGGACTTGCTACCTAAAGTCCTTATGGAAGGGGATTCCCCTTCCAAAAATTAATACACTTCCATCTCCCCTCCTCCCATCTCATCACACATGACTACATCTTCAATAAAGTTAAGTGTCATTTATTCTTCATTTATTACAGTACATATATTGTGCATGTCTCCTTTTTGTGTGTAGGAAAATGTATATTTCACATGTTAAAAAGTTTTTTTCATACTTTTGAGTGTCTGGAATGGATTAATTGGATTTCCTTTACATCTTATGGGGAAAATTAATTCGACTTACGATAATTTCATCTAACGATGAGCTCTTTGGAATGGGTTAATATCATAAGTCGGGGGTTCACTGTATATTTTTAAATGTTTTTGCAGTAGTGTACTGTATATTGAAATATACAGAATAGAGGAAATCAGCTCTAATATACATTATTTGGGTATGAATACTGGTCAGAGAGCCTGTCCTAAGTCTTGGGTGTCAGTAAATGAGTACATCACTAAGTGAGGAGAGGCTGTATATATAAAACATAAAATAACTTTAAACACTTGAAATTTTGGAAAGTTTCCAGACATAATGGAGAGATGTGGTGCTCACAGAGCTCACTGAGAATGTAAACAAACTAGGTGGGATGCTGTGACCGTATTAGAAAAGTCAGGTGGGGGGAGCTGTGTAGTGAGTTTGTCATAATTTGAAATGTCCATATTAGCAGGATGCTGTAAGGCTAAAGCGGGGCCCTACTGTACATGCACAATATATTTACATATTGTTAATTTGGTTACAGATACTGCATATTGTACTTCTCTCTAATATTTTATATTGTAATTTTTATATAATACATTCTAACAAATGTCTTGGTCTTCAACAGTGTGTGAACAGTTGTGTGTAATAGCATCTTGCTTGTCACACTTGTCTGAAATTCGTGGTTGTATAGTGATGTGGCGAGCATATGCAAGTTTGATCCAACATCATCATGGAGAATTACTTACTCGTTTAGACATCTCTGTTCCACTGGATGCCTTAGTAAAAGAGATCAGAGATGGTCTCTGTCTTTTAGCATCTATACCTATTAATAATATCACAAAGGTAGGATTAGTGTTTTCTGCATGTATTGTGTATGTATAGAAGTGTCTGTCAGAATTTTATGCATTGTTTCTCTTCAGTGAGGTGTCATATTGAATGTAGATAAGCTAGCTGTACTATATTTAAGTGAGGGAGGAAATATATACAAAAGATATTTGTTTAACAATTCAAAATAAGCTCAAAACGAGATTGGGAACTCATCCAATTGTGTATGAGGAGTTTCTCTTTCAGAAAGTAGCGATTGCCAGTTATATTGATAATGATAATGTTTTATTTCTTTGAGCCATACCAACAATGTAGATACATGAATTAATACAAAAGTAGGTGTTATGGGGCTATAGGACCCAACATGTATTTATTTAACTAGGTAGCAGTTACTCACTTTGGAATACCTGATTATATTAAGCTGCTGGGGGCACAATTGCTTTAATTCTGTCGTGAGAGCAGATCACTCTTATGGAGGAAAAAGCCAGTTGGGTCCAACATTGTATTTCAATATAAATAGGTTCTACTATAAACACACAATTAAAATAAGTACATTAAAGACAGTATTAAAAGTAAAATAAAGTGTAGTAATGGGAAAAACTAAATTATTGTAGTAGCTAAAGAATTGGGCATGTCAACCTTCTTTTGTGTGTTCTGTAGATGGGGAAGAGGATAGCTCTCTCTCTCTTGTGGTTGTGGTGCCCACATGGCAAGACCTTCTCCTTCTCTTTTACTTCTGGGCAAGATGTGAGTGTCCCAGAAAAGATTTGTATTTGAATATGATGTAATCATTATACCCAGAGTGACTACAGTGTGTCAAAAGACTGGGTTAAGGTCATCAGGAAGGAAGGAGCACTAATTGTTTCAGATGGACCATGTGACTGTACTAGCTGAGCAGCTAAGGGTGTGCATCCCTTGTTATGAATAGGAAAATGCTTAATTTGTATATTCTGTACATACCTGTCTAGAATATATTCCTATTTTTGTAGTTTAAATAACCTCTTTGAGAGGGTTGGTGAAAACATTTCAGAGGCTGAGGATGACCAATCATAAATGTAAGTATTTCCCCTAGACTTTATAAGGCCTTATTTAAGCTACCCCACACTAGAGCATGTAGTGAGAATCATACCATCCAAGTAAAAAAGGAAAACAACACTTATTATGCAGTGCATTTCATGCTACTTAAGACCTAGACATAGCCTATGATACAGTGCTTCTTATGTAGTTAACTACAATTATAAGCTCAATAAGAAAGGTAGCTAATGAGAAATGGTCAGTTACAAAAGAATTGCATATTATTTAAACTGGTTCAATGTTCTTTGGTTTTATGAAGTGATTGAATAGAGATGGTGAAAATACAGCAAGTTACTTACATTACTGTACAAATATAATGAGTAGCATTAATTTTTTTGTAGTATTAATTTATCAATTTTACACCACATTTGCTTGGATGTGTAATTGTGATTTCTTTAGTTTTAAATGTTTCCTTTTTACATTGTAGAATGAGAAAGACCTGAAAGTTGTTCAGCGAATTATCAAGATGACGTGTTTTTGTTTGAAAGTGATCGTTGCCTTGTGTGACAAGTTTCGAGGATACCTGAGAGGTGCACACTCATTGTTGGTTGAACTGCTGATGCTTTTGTTCAGGTAATTTTATAACTACTTTTTAAATTGTATTTTGTAATTTGGTGTTAATTTTAAGAATAAAAGAGAAAGTGAAAAAGGCCAGGTGGTTAATGCAGTGCAGCATCTTGTCAGAGTAAATAAAAAATTGCTGTAAAGTGAATCATAGCCTGTTCTCACTTTCAAATGCATATAAAAGTTTGATAACATGTTTAGTGAGTTTATTCAGGTACAAGTACACATAAATGCAGTTACATAAACTATCATACATACCAACATATGTGTAGATTACTTAGGATAACCCAAAAAAAAAGACAGTGACATATTTCCATTGAGGTCGTTGATCATACACATTATCCATATTTTTTTTTTTTTTTTTTTTTTTTTTTTTCTCTTCAACAAGTCGGTCGTCTCCCACCGAGGCAGGGTGACCCAAAAAAAGAAAGAAAATCCCCAAAAAGAAAATACTTTCATCATCATTCAACACTTTCACCACACTCACACATTATCACTGCTTTTGCAGAGGTGCTCAGAATACAACAGCTTAGAAGCATATACGTATAAAGATACACAACATTTTCTTCTTCTTATTCTTTTTAGTAATCTTTACAGGAAAAGGGGTTACTAGCCCATTGTTCCCGGCATTTTAGTTGACTTTTACAACACGCATGGCTTACGGAGGAAAGATTCTTATTCCACTTCCCCATGGATATAAAAGGAAAAGTAATAAGACCAAGAACTATTAAGATAAAATCAAAGGAAACTCAGATGAGTGTGTATAAATAAACGTGTACATGTATGTGTAGTGTGACCTAAGTGTAAGTAGAAGTAGCAAGACATGCCTGTAATCTTGCATATTTATGAGACAGACAAAAGACACCAGCAATCCTACCATGTAAAACAATTACAGGCTTTCGTTTTACACTCGCTTGGCAGGACGGTAGTACCTCCCTGGGTGGTTGCTGTCTACCAACCTACTACACAAATTATCCATATTACTTACCTTAAAATATCTTCAGCCTTAGCTTATAGTGAATGGTGAATATGTTTGTTGTAGGAAGTCCAAATAAATGAAGAATGGGTATGATTCAAAACTGTTGTTAAGTGGGGCCTGACTGTATTTGACAAACCTATCAATGGAAATTTTCCATTCTACAGTTTGCATCAAGGATATTTCTGAGTCAGTATTTACTTATTCCTTTTTGTAAATATAAATTTTCCATTTTGAATCCATTATTCTCAAACTCTAGTCTGAAATTATATTTTTAGAACCCTATTTATTTTCCCTGTACTAAACCCTTGAGAGAATGCACATGTAGCTGTTTTTACGTGCTTGCTAAAGGGAAGGTACCTAATGCTTCTGTATATTTCAAAGCAAGATTTAAATGATAGCATTTATACTTGTACTGTATTGTTAATGGTAAATTTGTATTAAACAGGTTTTCTCCTAACAACATCACACTGCAAATATACCCTGACAACATCAAAACTGATATAGAACAGCAAGTAATGACAGGTATTGAACCACTTCTGTTGCACCTCAGAGATGATGAAGAATTTATTAAGGTTAGCAAACAAAAAAGATTTTTGTAACATGTTAACCTGTGTATTATATTTTGATCTAATACGTATATAGTAGACCATCGATCAAGACGGTAGTTACATTCCTGAAAATGCAGTGTTAGATGAATCTGTGTTAAAGGAACTGAAGAACTTATGGGGAAAAATAGGGTGATGTTCCTGGGACCCCCTAAAAAGCCAAATGTCTTTTTTTTTTTTTTTTTTTTTTTTTTTTTTTTTTTAAGGTCTCCAAATCTTACACAAATAAAAATGATAATGCAATTGTTGTTCATTGTCATTACATATATTTTTCTATTGTTTAAGGGTACAAATGCAACAGCTTACCTTAAATTGTGGTACTGGTGTTTGTTGATGATTGTGAAGGAGGGGGTGGAGAGGCATCCTGAGGCCCATCTGGACTGAGGTGGATGGTAGTCTAGTCAGTAAGTCAGTCAAGTCAAGCGAGTCAGCCAAGTCAGTACAGTCATTCAGTAAATCTGTTAAGTCAGTAAGCCATCAGTAAATCAGTCAATCAAGTCAGTCAGTCAAGTAGTAAGCAGTCAGTATATCAGTCAGGTCACTCAGTAAATGAGTGAGTCAATCAGTAAAATCATTCTGTAAATCAGTCTAGTTGGTCAGTCAAGTCATTCAGTAAATCAGTCAAGTCAGTAGGTCAGTCAGTAATTCAGTAAATGAGTTGTTATTAAATCAGTCAAGTCATTCAGTGAATCAGTCCAATCTGTAAAACAGTCAAATCAGTTAATCAGTCAAGTCATACAGTAAGTTAGTCAAGTTAGTAAGTCATTCAGTATACCAGACAAGTCATTCAGTAAATCAAGTCGGTAACTCCTGGGTTATTCATTGCACAAGCCCATATACAGTAGGACCCTGCTTTTCGGCGTTTCGCCTTACGGCATTCCGCTAATACGGCGATCTCAATTTATGACCAAAACTTTCTCTACGGCAAGTGGTCTTTCAAATATGGTGCGCACCACCCGGTTTGTTTACATTCTCCATAAGCACATCTCTCTATTATGTAATAATAATCACTCTTGGGCACATTAAATGTCTAATTTTACGTCATTATAGACATTTTCATTAATCCATCTATGATATTTTCTTCAAAATTATATAAGAAACATGTTACATAGCATATAAACATGCTGTTTATATGCTGTGGAGGTGTTTTTGTCGGTTGGAGGGAAAACATTACGTAATACTAATGATAATCACTCTTGGGCGCATTAAATGCCTAATTTTACGTCAATATAGACATTTTCATTAATCCATCTATGATATTTTCTTCAAAATTATATAAGAAACACATTACATAGCATATAAGCATTTTGTTTTTATACAATGGAGGTGTGATAGCTGGGCAGAGGGTAAACATTGTCACTCCTCTCAATACATAATGCTTTTGTTTACAATTCTCGGTATGAATTATTCATTACTCCTTCCATTGTTTATGATGGCATGTAAAGGTAGTTGTTAGAAACAATTAAACTCGGTGAACATGGTACAGTAAGGCCCCGCTTTATGGCGTTTTGCCTTAAGGCATTCCGCTAATATGGTGATGTCAAATTATGACCAAAATTTGCTATACGGCAAGCGGTCTTTCAAATATGGCGCCCCCCACCCGGTTTGTTTACATTTTCCGTGACCACATCTATTGTGTCAGGTAACTTTCCAAAATTTCAAGTGTTTTAAAGTTACTGCATATTTTATATGTACAGTGGACCCCCGGTTAACGAACTTTTTTCATTCCAGTAGTATGTTCAGGTGCCAGTACTGACCGAATTTTTTCCCATAAGGAATATTGTGAAGTAGATTAGTCCATTTCAGACCCCCAAACATACACGTACAAACGCACTTACATAAATACACTTACATAATTGGTCGCATTTGGAGGTGATCGTTAAGCGGGGGTCCACTGTACTCTGATAATTATACTTATGTGTACCTGTACCTAAATATACTTACACACTGTGCTTGTGTGCAGGTACACATTAAAATCGCTAAGTCTCTCTCTACTCATGACGCCAATACTACGTAATAATAATCACTCTTGGGCACACTAAATGTCTTACTTTACATCAATATAGGCATTTTCATTAATCCATCTATGATATTTTCCTCAAAATTATATATGAAACCCATTACATAGCATATAAACATGATACATACACTCACAGAATAAAAATTGATGTACATATGAGACTTGTTTACAAAGCAGCTGTGTAGGTAGTGTCGGAAGAATTAGCGTTTTCTCTAGTCAAACTGGGGGATAACTGTAGAAAAATATTCTTTTTGTATGCCTTTACTCTCTGTATAGCAATTCATGACCCTTGTGGGTTTAGTGCTTTTTATAATAATAATAATATTATTATTATTATTATTATTATTATTATTATTATCATCTTCATTCACTCTAAAAATGGTGTGTTGCTGTTTGTTTATTCTGAACTAACTTGTACACAATGTAAGAGTATTTGTATTGCGAGGTAATTACAGTGGACCCCCGGTTCGTGATACTAATCCATTCCTGAGAGCTCATCGTAAACCAAAAATATCGGAAAGCGAATCAATTTTCCCCATAAGAAATAATGGAAATCAAATTAATCCGTGCAAGACACCCAAAAGTATGAAAAAAAAAACTTTTACCTCGTGAAATATTAAGTTTAATGCAATAGAATAGTAATTACAATAACAATAGAATAATTGACACTTACCTTTAATGAAGATCTGGTGATGATTGATGGGATGGGAGGAGGGGAGTGTGTGGATGGTGTTAGCATTTAGAAGGGGAATCCCCCTCCATTAGGACTTGAGGTAGCAAGTCCTTTTCCGGGGTTACTTCCCTTCTTCTTTTAATGCCACTAGGACCAGGTTGAGAGTCACTGGACTTCTGTCACACAACATAACTGGCAGCCTCACCATGCCTAATCACACTATGTATGCCACTACGATTCTTAAATCTTTCAAACCAACCTTTGCTGGCCTTAAATTCACTCACATCACCACTAGTTGCAGGCAATTTCTTTACCAAATCGTCATGCAACTGCCTAGCCTTTTCACAAATGATTGCTTGAGAGATGCTATCTCCTGCTATCTGTTTTTCATTTATCCACACCAATTACAGTCTCTCAACATTTTCTAACACTTGCGGTCGCTGTTTCGTAATCACAGTTGCACCTTTTGCAAGAACAGCTTCCTTGATTGCCGTTTTCTTGCTCACTATAGTAGAGATGGTTGATTGGGGTTTACTATACAACCTGACAAGCTCTGACACACGCACTCCACTTTTGTACTTTGCAATTATCTCTTTCTTCATTTCAACAGTCATTAGCACCCTTGGTCTCGAAGGGTTGGCACTGGGAGCTTTCTTGGGGCCCATGGTGACTTATTTTGCAAAAACAGGCACCAAAAACAGTGATAATATGGATAATATGGAATGTACCGAATGTATCCTTAGATGCGCGCACACTGGCTGGCTTGTAAACACTGGCACACACGGGACAGTTCAGGCCACATATTGACACGTCTCGTACGAACCACATTGCATACCGGGTTTTGTATCGGGAAGCAAGGCAAATTTTCTGCGATATAATGCATCGGTTACCGGATTTATCGGATACCGATAGCATCGCTAACCGGGGGTCCACTGTATTATTATAATAAAAAAATATTGAGGTAAATGTTTTACAAACTCTTACAAACGGACGTGAATGAACTAAAAGTAGACACACATTAATATGCATTTATTTCGCCTGACCAAGTGATCGTCCACTACCTGTTCAGTTTGTGTTCTTACATTGTCTCAACTCTGTATCTCGTTCTCTTTCTCATTTACTCTTTCGTTAACTAGTTGGCTCTCATTGACGATGGCATCTAAGGTTAGCTGTGATAAAAAAGAAATGTAAGACTTTTCTTAACCAATAGGGATGATGAACTAGTAGCCAAAATTCTATTTTATTTAACGCCTGACCACGTACGTCTCACACCTTAATTTGTATTTTAATGTAATGTAGTTGTTGCTTTTCGTCATGAAACTGTCGTAATGTTTCCTGACGATGGGTTCTGTATAAGATAAATGACGCCTTTGCTTTAGTCAATTAGAGGTTGATGGTGGTCCATTCTTTTTAAAAAAATATATCTAAATTTATTAATCTTTAAGGTAAGTAATAAGTGTACTCTGTGTGTATCTTGCCTTTTATTGTGTTTTTAATGCCTATTTGTATTGCTAACTTAATATAAGTTAGTGTAAACTTGTTGTCTGGCATTTATTGCATATTTTGTGTGTGCTCTGATAATAATACTTGTGGACCTGTGTGGTAGCCGGGTGGAGGGACAACATTGCGTTTTCTCTGCTCAGCCATCAGAGAAAACATGTATGAATCTGCATTTGGCCCAGCCACTCCCTCACTCCGCTTTTGTTTACAATTTTCGGCATGAATTATTCATACTTCTACCTTCGTTTATGATGGCATCTAAAGGTAGTTGTTACAAATGATTAAATTCAGTGAACAAGGCATGTCGATGCTAATAATATGGCTCTGGGCCACAGTGTAGCTACCTACACTGACTTCCTACAAATAAGTACTACTCGCCTCTCTCCCTACATTAAGATTACAAATACTTTAAGATAAGTAATGAATTTACTGTGAATGTATTTTACTTCGTGTGTTTTTAATGCCTAGTTCTATTACTAACTTAATATAATTTAGTGTAAACTTGTTGTCTAGCATTTATATGCATTTATAAATGGAAAAAAAATGGCGTTCTGCCTTCCGGCGATGTCTGCTTTCCGGCAACAGCCTGGAACCTAACCGCCATATAAGTGGGGCCCTACTGTATATCAATGGTAATAATAATATGTAGCTATGTAGGTAGATATAGGTATGTAGCTCAGGCAGACTACATACCTATTATAACTGATAATTACTATAACTGATAATTTTACGTATGTGTACCTGTACCTAAGCATGCCTTCACCCAGGGTGTCA